TCAGCATAAAATTGCTGAACAAACATGCCGTAGAGCCGTTTGAAACAAGGGCGTTGATACTAGTGATGCTCGTGGTTGCTAGAGATCTGTCAGGGGGCTTTTCCTGCCTTGCGTGGCTGCAGTTGTTGTCCGGCCGTTCTTGCTTGGGCTGGCAGTGGCTTGCAGCGCTCCACGCTGGCTGCAGCTGTGGGGCTCATCAGGACATGATACATACGAGTCCACAAGGCTCGTGTTGCCCAAATAAAGGGTTTAGGGTTTAGTGCTTAGGGTTGAGGTTAATGGGTCATATTTTACGGTTAGTATCCTACTATTTAGATAACTGGAGCCTCAGGGAATTTTTAAGGTTTCGGATGTTACCCGAAACGGCATACTGCCACACAACCCACGGGTGCAATTCAATATCTCAGCTCTGGTACGTTACTTAAGCCGAAGCTGAAGCTTGTTGACTTCGTGCAAATTCAGCGAAGCATCAGCTTAGACAGTACCCGGATGAGCTCGCTCACGGAGATATCCCCGCTGCCATCGCGGTCCCACCTCTGGAATATGTCCTGATCTTTGGATGTTGGCTTCGAGACTTCGCTGGTTTAGGGTTTGGGGTTTAGGGTCAGTGCTTACCTGTGCTCAAGCCACTTAGCAACTGCTTGCGAGCTTGTGAGGAATCCTATGGCCTTAATGATTAGAATTTGCCCTCGACACACCTTATCAGATTATTATATAGGGAACATGGCTATTACTTGTTGGGACCTCTATAGCATCGCATTTTGGGGTATGTTGAATTATATCATTTATACCCATAGTAAGATGGAGGCCAGTGGTCGTTAAGAACAATAGAAGTAGAAGGGAAATCACAGGGAAACGTCAACAGCAGCCATTCGCCGAACCTGCTGGCAGCTGCCCTAAGCCTCATATCCTAAACTCTAAACCCTAAACCTGAACCCTAAACCCTCCTACTTCCCGCCGCCTTTGCCGCCAGCTTCACACCCGAAATCCCGAATCCGCAACCCCGTAAACCGAACACGCGACGCAACCAAAACGCAAAGAATCTCCGATAAACCCTAAACCCGTAAACCCTAAACCGTAAAGCCATAAACCCTAAACCCTTTTTCACAAGGGACTCGGCTGCTGCCCTCACGGCCCAACTTGACCCACAAGACAGTACTCATGACTGAGATACCGGCCACTTCGCGGCTCCAAGCTTC